TCACTCCGTAATATCACAAGTCCTATGGGTGGGAACTTACACACGTGTTGTCATCCCGACAGTCCTTGAGCGAAGAGATTGAATATCACATCTCTTGGCGGGATATCCGTATGTCCCTGTTGCATGCTGGGAGTAATTTTATTATTTTTATTTCTTTTTATTTATGTAATTTATTTTAAACGAAATTTAAATTTTATTTTAATTTGTTTAGAATTTTCATCATTATTATCATTTTATATTTTATTTTTATTTATATTAATAACAATGTTACCACATATTTCAAACCACAGTTTAAAGACAAATTTTGCTTACCTTTAAGAATCCATTCTTCTCATATTCCTAAACTACAGGTTGTAGAATTTAAAACGACCTGGGCCTAATGATAAAGGCCAAATCACATAAGACAATTGATTCATTGATTTGTTCTCTATTACCTATTAACCCTTTGTAGGTTAATTAACGCCAGATTATTTGTAGATTGTAAGAATTAAAAAAAATGATTTCGTGATACATGTCTGTCTATAATGTCTACATTATCTATTCGGTAATAGTAGACTGCTAAATGCGGTAGGTAACTCTTGTTAACAATGTAATGAAAATGACAATGATTAACGTTAACTTGAAATTGGTCTCTCATTTTTAACACTACATTTTATTCAACTTCAGATTCAAATCTCATCGGCCAGTGCATGTACGTGTGTGTGTGTGTTTGTTTTCGTGCGCGTTTCGCAACTGTAGGTCTTATGTGGACGTGGACCTTACGTTCTCGTCTTTAATATCTGGGAGACAGCCCATTTCTTAACTTGGGCGGGTGTTTATATAACTAAGTATAATACTCCCACGCTTTCCTAGGTGTTCGCATGACGGATTTGTTTTTTTTTTCTCCGGCTTTGTCGGCTATATAATGCCGAAACATATTCCAGATTGTAACAGGTTTCTTACAGTACCTGTGTTTCTAAGGGATCTTCCATCTAAGTACTGACCGATCTTGACACTGCCTAACTTCTGTGATCGAACGGAAACTGGTGTTTCAAGCGTATTTCCTTTGTAAATTTGTCGCGGTCACGGGAATCTAGATTTGGTTACTTCGGCTTAACACAACACCTGGCATCCTTGTGGGTCTGGTGTTATATTGAGTGTACTATCTAATCTAGTATGCTGTAATTAGTCTGGCAAAGGGATATAAAATCCAGGTAACTTGAGAGGAGTGAACACAATACAAAAGGAAATTAACCAACATTTACTGACTATCCAACCACAGTAAAAGACTTTCTGAGTGCAATATTCAAATGTTTTTTTAATCATTCTTGAAAATGAAAATGATTGATGATCTGGATTATTCAACGCGCCGGAAGTGAGCTTGTTACTGCGGTGCAATAGGTGAATGAGTGCAGAGATTCATGAAGTGAGCCAGTAGCCGATGGCGCCATCGAGTTTAAGTCTAACCCTGCCGAAAAAGAGTCAGTCGCTATTCTCATGGAGAAGATGAATGCATGATGTCTGAAATGCTTGTTAGATAATCTTTTATTGCATAATCTACGATTTATGTATTATCAAATCTACATCAATATATATATATATATATATATATATATATATATATATATATATGTATATATATATATATATATAATAAAATATTATTTAAAGGTATGCTGTATTTGTGGATTAAAACGCTCAATATAAGAAATAGAACGTACGTAAAATATAAAATGTACATTGAAGTCAACACCCAAAGGCGACAGTCTGTTTCATGGTAAACGCAATGACTGTCGCCTCCGGATGTTGACTTCAGTGTCCACCTCTCTCTATATATATATATATATATATATATATATATATATATATATATATATATATATATATATATATATATAATGTGAACATTGAAGTCAACACTCAGAGTCGACAGGCTGTTTCATACTAGACGCGGCCTGACGATTGCGTCTAAAATGAAACAGCCTGTCGCCTCTGACTGTTGACTTCAATGTTCACTTTTATATTTATACGCTATATTTCTGATATTGAACACTTTATTCCATAAATATAGCACACTTTAAAACTATATTTCTGCATATATATATATATATATATATATATATATATATATATATATATATATATATATATTATTTTAAGCATTTCATCCCAAGCAAGGCGGGAAGCCACTAGGACGCAAGGGGTTACAGAAAAATTAGAGCAGCTCAGATAGGAGTGATAGAAGAAAGGATGAGGGTAGTGGATAGATCAAGGCAACTGGAGATGTCGATTGACATTACACTTGAATAGCTGGAGATTATAGCTCACAGGGAAACAGGAATAGGGAAGGGAGTTCCACAGGCGAGAGGTGCGAGACATTAAGCTATTAGAGTAGAAGAGACGGCTACATTTAGGAGTTTCGACAGTGAAGGGGTGAGAGCGGGATGCCAGCCTCGTAAGGCGCTGGAACTCATGACGTCTATATAAAGGGGAACAGTAACATTAAAAAGTGCTCAATACACGCGTGAAAAACTAAAAAGAAATAACATGTAGATCTTTTAACTTTAAAAATTAGGAGATCAGTTGATTCCGCTGTCTTGGTTTCAACCTTATGGTATCATCAGACGAGTTTTATTAATTGACCCCTCCAACGCTTTATTTAAAAAAAAAACAAACAAAAAAAAACAAACAAATAAAACACCTGCGTCCTCCTTTTTAGGATGAACTACGCACATTTCTTTTTATTAAATTTTCTCGAGTGAGCAGGTTGATAGACGTTTAAGAAAAGGGCGTCTATTTCAAACACGGGTATCCACTAAAATAACGTTTAAAATTATAAGAATGTCGGTTAAAAACTGCGTGTTACGCACTTCTTAACATTGTCATGATCATTATTAGCTTTAATCATAATTTTGACTTATTGTTTTGAAGAGTATTTACTTTCATTTTTATTTTTATCTCGCTTTTCATTTTATAGAGCATTATCAGCAATTACTATTTATTTAGGGATAGTATTTACTTTCATTTTTAATTTCTATTTGTATCGGATAAAGCATTATAAAACTTTAATATTAATTTTGGGCAAATATTATCTTTCATCAACTATTGTTATTAACCGTCTATATCTCTGAAATGAGGTTTTCTTATTATTTACATTATTCGGGCTGTTATCCTCATTTTCATTGTCATATTCACAACGTTTCGGCCGTTGTATTTCGAACTTTATTTCGTCCACCGGGGTAGTTTCTTCTAGTTCCACGTGTCATGCCTCTTCCTGATGTCTCAGTTATTTCCCTTTAACTCTCAGCACATATTCTAAGCCACAAAAAATCTCCTGAGCCGACTAAGCATGAAAACGAATACAATATGGGAACCAATTATAAGGAGTGCTAGAGAAAAGCAATGAATAACAACAAAAATTGCAATATAAGCTCGGGTAAAAAATATGCAATAATAATAACGGAAAAATTGCAATATGAGCATTGGTCAAAAATGACTGCTGAGACATATGCCCCAGAAATTCATAACCGGATATCCTCAAGGACTGTCTGTCTGTTGGTTAGAACCAGTGACTAAAGCCAATGGGTTGTGAGTTCAATACCAGGCAGTGGTGAATCAAAAAAAACTTGAAGAGATTAGTCTGGCACGTGGTACAAGAACAATCTACCCTGCTGGATGAAATGAAGTGTTCGGCCCGAAATTCCAAAGAAGAAGAATAAATATGGCAATGAGGATAACAATGACAAATATATAATTTCATCTTTTTTTTTAATAGATGAAGCATTGTCAGCCATTATTATTAATTTTTGACCAGAATTTACTTTCATCTTCATTTTTTAATAGATGAATTATTGTCAGCCATTATTATTAATTTTTGACCAGTATTTACTTTCATCTTCATTTTTTTATTAGATAAAGCATTGTCAGTCAATTTTTTTTTTACAAGTACTTATTTTCATTTACGTCACTCTACGTGTTATTTGTCACCTCAATAATCCCTTCCAATCACTGCTCAGCTATCCATTTATACAATATAGTTAGGTTACTCACTGTTTCCGTTTGACCTTCCTGAATTCAACATGTCCCGTGAGTATAAAATCCCAAACTATTAATTTCAGCTATCGCTTTCTAATCCTGAGTAAAATTGTCGTCTTTCTTTCCATTTTCCTTAAAACATCTTCGTTTCTCACATGTCCCATCGATGGTATTTACATCATGCTTCTGTAAATCTAATTCTCTATTGGATGAAGTCTGTCTTTGTGAGGAAATTGAACAGAATTGCCAGCAAAGGTGGATGGTCGATATTAAATATTTAAGCTCACTTGTTAGTTTCTAATGAGGTTTTCGTATCCATTAATAATTTGCTTAACTTTTGGAAGACATATTCCGCTATACAAATGTAACCTTTGATTTTTTTCCTAAAAAAATTATAAAAATATGTTATAAATTCCAGCGGAAAGTAATATATATATATATATATAAGTAATGATAAATCTTGGTAATCCGTATGGATAATCCCAAGGGGGGATGAAATCCGAAGAGCTCAATGCTAAATCAGACGGAATAATTTAATTTAAAGAAAACCAGACAAGTTAAAAAAAATATAAAAATGGCGACATCGTACTATGTATATATGAAGGCATGAGGAAGAAGAAGAGAAAGTAAAAGAGATGAAAAAGAGGACCAAAAAAATGGAATGAATAAACCTTTTGAGAAGAAAAAAATGAGAAATACGACTTGAAAGCAAGAAAGGATGAGAAAAGTTCCGAAAAGTTGAGAAAAAAAAGACATGAATTAATTTGATGAGGACTTTTGGAATGAAATAAGAGGAGTTGAAAGAAAACTTTCAAAGAAAAAAAAGCCACAGCTAGCTTTCAAGAACTGATGAGGAAGAAGAAGAGAAAGTAAAAGAGATGAAACTAAGAGGAGGACTTGAAAGAAAATGGAATGAATAAAGAGTTGAAAAAAAAAAAAACAGCTAGCAAGAACTGATGAGGAAGAAGAAGAGTTGTTAAAAGAGATCAAAAAGAGGAGGACTTTGAAAAAAAATGAATAAAGAGAAAAGAAAAAAAGCCACAGCTAGCAAGAACTGATGAGGAAGAAGAAAGAAAGAAAAGAGATGAAACTAAGAGGAGGTCTTGAAAGAAAAAGGAATGAATAAAGAGTTGAGAAAAAAAGCCACAGCTAGCAAGAACTGATGAGGAAGAAGAAGAGAAAGTAAAAGAGATGAAACTAAGAGCACGACTTGTAAGAAAATGTAATGAATAAAGAGTTGAAAAAAAAAAAGCCACAGCTAGCAAGAACTGATGAGGAAGAAGAAGAGAAAGTAAAAGAGATGAAACTAAGAGGAGGACTTTGAAAAAAAGAAAAGGAATGAATAAAGAGTAAAAAGAAAAAAGAAGAAAGAAAGCTAAAAGAACTGATGAGGAAGAAGAAAAGAATAAAAGTTAAAAATCAAGAGATGAAAGAAAGTAAGAGGAGGACTTGAAAGAAAAAAGGAATGAATAAAAGAGTTGAGAAAAAAGCCACAGCTAGCAAGAAGATGAGGAAGAAGAAAGAGTAAAAAAGTAAAAGACTTGAAAGAAAATGAAAATAAAAGAAAAAAAAAAAGGAGGAACTTGAAAAGAAACGTGGAATGAATAAAGAGTTGAAAAAAAAAAAGTTGAAAGAAAAAAAGCCACAGCTAGCAAGAACTGATGAGGAAGAAGAAGAGAAAGTAAAAGAGATGAAACTAAGAGGAGCTCTTGAAAGAAAAAGGAATGAATAAAGAGTTGAGAAAAAAAGCCACAGCTAGCAAGAACTGATGAGGAAGAAGAAGAGAAAGTAAAAGAGATGAAACTAAGAGGAGCACTTGAAAGAAAAAGGAATGAATAAAGAGTTGAGAAAAAAAAAAAAGCCACAGAAGAAGAAAGAAAGTAAAAGAGATGATGAGGAAGTCTTGAAAGAAAAGAAAGAAAAAGAGATGAAAAAAAGAGGACGAACTTGAAAGAAAATGGAATGAAATAAAGAGTTGAGAAAAAAGAGTTGAGGAGGTCTTGAAAGAAAAAAAAAAAAAGCCACAGCTAGCAAGAACTGATGAGGAAGAAGAAAGAAAAAAAGAGATGAAACTAAGAGGAGGACTTGAAAGAAAATGGAATGAATAAAAGTTGAAAAAAAAAAAAGCTAAAAAACTGATGAGGAAGAAGAAAGAAGATGAAAGGAAGAAGAAAGAAAAAGAATGAAAAAGAGATGAAAAAAAGAGGAGGACAAGAACTGATGAGGAAGAAGAAAGAAAAAGAGATGAACTAAAAGAGTTGAAAGAAAAAAATGAATAAAGAGTTGAAGAAAAAAAAGAAGCTAGCAAGAACTGATGAGGAAGAAGAAGAGAAAGTAAAAGAGATGAAACTAAGAGGAGCTCTTGAAAGAAAAAGCAATGAATAAAGAGTTGAGAAAAAAAGCCACAGCTAGCAAGAACTGATGAGGAAGAAGAAGAAAGAAAAGAGATGAAACTAAAGGAAGAAAGAAAAAAGAATGAATAAAGAGTTGAAAGAAAAAAAGCCACAGCTGGCAAGAACTGATGAGGAAGAAGAAGAGAAAGAAAAAGATGAAAAAAGAGGAGGACTTGAAAGAAAATGGAATGAATAAAGAAAAAAAAAGCCACAGCTAGCAAGAACTGATGAGGAAGAAGAAGAGAAAGAAAAAGAGATGAAACTAAGAGGAGGACTTGAAAGAAAATGGAATGAATAAAGAGTTGAGAAAAAGCCACAGCTAGCAAGAACTGATGAGGAAGAAGAAGAGAAAGAAAAAGAGATGAAACTAAGAGGAGGACTTGAAAGAAAAAGGAATGAATAAAGAGTTGAAAAAAAAAAAGCCACAGCTAGCAAGAACTGATGAGGAAGAAGAAGAGTAAAAAAGAAAAAGAGAGATGAAACTAAGAATAAAGACTTGAGAAAAAGCCACAGCTAGCAAGAAAAAAAGAATGAGATGAAATAAGAGTTGAAAAAAAAAAGCCACAGCAAGAACTGATGAGGAAGAAGCAAGAACTGATGAGGAAGAAGAAAAATGAAAGAATAAAAAAAAAGATGAAAACTGATAAGAAGGAGAACTAAAAAGAGAAAAAGGAATGAATGAAAAAAGTGGAATGAATAAAAGAAAAAAAAAAGCCAAGAAGCAAGAACTGATGAGGAAGAAGAAAGAAAGTAAAAGAGATGAAACTAAGAGGAGGACTTTGAAAGAAAAGGAATGAATAAAGAGTTGAAAAAAAAAAGCCACAGCTAGCAAGAACTGATGAGGAAGAAGAAGAGAAAGTAAAAGAGATGAAACTAAGAGGAGAGGACTTGAAAATAAAGAGTTGAGAAAAAAAGCCACAGCTAGCAAGAACTGATGAGGAAGAAGAAGAGAAAAAGAATGAATAAAGAGTTGAAAAAGAAAAAAATGAATAAAGAGAAGAAAAGAACTGATGAAGAAGAAGAAGAAAGAAAGTAAAAGAGATGAAATAAGAGAGGACTTGAAAAAAAGAAAAAGGAATGAATAAAGAAGTTGAGAAAAAAAAAGAAACAGCTAGCAAGAACTGATGAGGAAGAAGAAGAGAAAAGAAGAAAAGAGATGAAACTAAGAGGAGGACTTGAAAGAAAAAAAAGGAATGAATAAAGAGTTGAAAAAAAGCCACAGCTAGCAAGAACTGATGAGAAGAAGAAGAAGAAAGTAAAAAGAGATGAAAAAGAGGAGGACTTGAAAGAAAAAGGAATGAATAAAGAGTTGAGAAAAAAAGCCACAGCTAGCAAGAACTGATGAGGAAGAAGAAAGAAAAAAGAGATGAAACTAAGAGGAGGACTTGAAAGAAAATGGAATGAATAAAGAGTTGAGAAAAAAAAAAGCCACAGCTAGCAAGAACTGATGAGGAAGAAGAAGAGAAAGTAAAAGAGATGAAACTAAGAGGAGGACTTGAAAGAAAAAATGGAATGAATAAAAGTTGAAAAAAAAAAGCCACAGCTAGCAAGAACTGATGAGGAAGAAGAAGAGAAAGAAAAAGAGATGAAACTAAAGAGGACTTGAAAGAAAAAGGAATGAATAAAAAGTTGAAAAAAAAAGCCACAGCTAAGAAGAACTGATGAGGAAGAAGAAAAAAAGTAAAAGAGATGAAACTAAGAGGAGGACTTGAAAAGAAAATGGAATGAATAAAGAGTTGAAAGAAAAAAAAGCCACAGCTAGCAAGAACTGATGAGGAAGAAGAAGAGAAAGTAAAAAAGAGATGAAACTAAGAGGAGGACTTTGAAAGAAAAAAGAATGAATAAAGAAGTTGAAAAAAAGAACAGAAAAGCAAGAACTGGATGAGGAAGAAGAAGAGAAAGTGAAAAAAAAGAGATGAAACTAAGAAGAAGACTTGAAAGAAAAGGAATGAATAAAGAGTTGAAAAGAAAAAAAGCCACAGCTAGCAAGAACTGATGAGGAAGAAGAAGAAGAAAGTGAAAAAGAGATGAAAAGAAGAAGAGGAGGACTTGAAAGAAAAGGAATGAATAAAGAGTTGAAAAAAAAGCCACAGCTAGCAAGAACTGATGAGGAAGAAGAAGAGAAAGTAAAAGAGATGAAACTAAGAGGAGGACTTGAAAGAAAAAAGTTGGAATGAATAAAGAGTTGAAAAAAAAACAGATGAAACTAAAAGAACTGAAGGAAGAAGAAGAGAAATAAAAGAAGATGAAAAGAAGAAGGAGAGATGAAAAAAAGGAATGAAAAAAGAAGAAGAAAAAAAGCCACAGCTAGCAAGAACTGATGAGGAAGAAGAAGAGAAAGTAAAAGAGATGAAATAAGAGGAGGACTTGAAAGAAAAAAGGAATGAATAAAGAGTTGAAAAAAAAAAGAAGCAAGAACTGATGAGGAAGAAGAAGAGAAAGAAGAAAAAGAGATGAAACTAAGAGGAGGACTTGAAAGAAAATGGAATGAATAAAGAGTTGAGAAAAAAAAGAAGAAGAACTGATGAGAAGAAGAAGAGAAAGTAAAAGAGATGAAACTAAGAGGAGGACTTGAAAGAAAATGGAATGAATAAAGAGTTGAAAAAAAAAAGCCACAGCTAGCAAGAACTGATGAGGAAGAAGAAGAGAAAGTAAAAGAGATGAAACTAAGAGGAGCTCTTGAAAGAAAAAGGAATGAATAAAGAGTTGAGAAAAAAAGCCACAGCTAGCAAGAACTGATGAGGAAGAAGAAGAGAAAGTAAAAGAGATGAAACTAAGAGGAGCTCTTGAAAGAAAAAGGAATGAATAAAGAGTTGAGAAAAAAAGCCACAGCTGGCAAGAACTGATGAGGAAGAAGAAGAGAAAGTAAAAGAGATGAAACTAAGAAGAACTTGAAAGAAAAAGGAATGAATAAAGAGTTGAAAAAAATAGGAAGCAAGAACTGATGAGGAAGAAGAAGAGAAAAAAGAGATGAAACTAAGAGGAGGACTTGAAAGAAAAGAATGAATAAAGAGTTGAATAAAAAAAGAAGCTAGAAGAAGCAAGAACTGATGAGGAAGAAGAAGAGAAAGAAAAAAAAAGAGATGAAACTAAGAGGAGGACTTGAAAGAAAAATGGAATGAATAAAGAGTTGAAAAAAAAAGCCACAGCTAGAAGAACTGATGAGGAAGAAGAAGAGAAAGTAAAAGAGATGAAACTAAGAGGAGGACTTGAAAGAAAAATGGAATGAATAAAGAGTTGAAGAAAAAAAAGCCACAGCTAGCAAGAACTGATGAGGAAGAAGAAGAGAAAGTAAAAGAGATGAAACTAAGAGGAGGACTTGAAAAGAAATGGAAAGAAAAAAAAAGCCACAGCTAGCAAGAACTGATGAGGAAGAAGAAAGAAGAGATGAAAGAAGAGGAATGAAAAAAAAAGGAAAGGAAAATGAATAAATGATGAGGAAGAAGAAAGAAAAAAAATGAAACTAAAGAGGTCTTGAAAGAAAAGAAAAAAAAAAAAGCCACAGCTAGCAAGAACTGATGAGGAAGAAGAAAGAAAGTAAAAGAGATGAAACTAAGAGGAGGACTTGAAAGAAAATGGAATGAATAAAGAGTTGAAAAAAAAGCCACAGCTAGCAAGAACTGATGAGGAAGAAGAAGAGAAATAAAAGAAGATGAAAAGAGGAACTTGAAAAGAAAAGGAATGAATAAAGAGAAAAAAAAAGCCACAGCTAGCAAGAACTGATGAGGAAGAAGAAAATGGAGATGAATAAAGGAGTTGAAAGAAAAAGGAATGAATAAAGAGTTGAGAAAAAAAGCCTGAGAAGGAAGAACTGATGAGGAAAAGAAGAAAAGTAAAAGATGAAACTAAGAGGAGGAAGGAATGAATAAAAAGAAAATGGAATGAATAAAGAGTTGAGAGAAAAAAAGCCACAGCTAGAAAAAGAACTGATGAGGAAGAAGAAGAAGAAGAAAAAGAGATGAAACTAAGAGGAGGACTTGAAAGAAAATGAGAAAAATGAATAAAGAACTGATGAGGAAGAAGAAGAAAAAAAAGAGATGAAACTAAGAAGAACTTGAAGAAAAGGAATGAATAAAGAGTTGAAAAAAAAAAAAAAAGAACTGATGAGGAAGAAGAAAGAAAGAAAAGAGATGAAAAAGAAGGACTTGAAAGAAAAAGGAATGAATAAAGAGAGGAAAGAAAAAAATGAAGCTAGCAAGAACTGATGAGGAAGAAGAAGAGAAAGGAAAAAAGAGATGAAACTAAGAGGAGGACTTGAAAGAAAAAAGGAATGAATAAAGAGTTGAAAAAAAAAAGCCACAGTAGCAAGAATGATGAGGAAGAAGAAGAGAAAGTAAAAGAGATGAAACTAAGAGGAGACTTGAAAAGAAAAGGAATGAATAAAGAAGAAAAAAAAAATTAGCAAGAATGATGAGGAAGAAGAAGAGAAAGTAAAAGAGATGAAACTAAAGGAGGACTTGAAAGAAAATGGAATGAATAAAAGAAAAAAAAAAACTAGCAAGAACTGATGAAGAAGAAGAAGAAGAAAGAAAAAAGAGATGAAACTAAGAGGAGGATGAAAGAAAATGGAATGAATAAAGAGTTGAAAGAAAAAAAAAAGCCACAGCTAGCAAGAACTGATGAGAAGAAGAAGAAGAAGATGAAAAAGTAAAAGAAAAGATGAAAAAGAAGAGGAGGAACTTAAAAAAGAAAAAATGGAATGAATAAAGAGTTGAAAAAAAAGCCACAGCTAGCAAGAACTGATGAGGAAGAAGAAGAGAAAGTAAAAAGAGATGAAACTAAGAGGAGGACTTGAAAGAAAATGGAATGAATAAAGAGTTGAAAGAAAAAAAAAGCCACAAGAGCAAGAACTGATGAGGAAGAAGAAGAAAGTAAAAGAGATGAAATAAGAGGAGGACTTGAAAGAAAATGGAATGAATAAAAGTTGAAAAAAAAAAGCCACAGCTAGCAAGAACTGATGAGGAAGAAGAAGAGAAAGTAAAAGAGATGAAACTAAGAGGAGGACTTGAAAGAAAATGGAATGAATAAAGAGTTGAAAAAAAAAAAAAAAAGCCACAGCTAGCAAGAACTGATGAGGAAGAAGAAAAGAAAGTAAAAGAGATGAAACTAAGAGGAGGACTTGAAAAAAAAATGGAATGAATAAAGAGTTGAAAGAAAAAAAGCCACAGCTAGCAAGAACTGATGAGAAGAAGAAGAGAAAGAAAAAAAAGATGAAACTAAGAGGAGGACTTGAAAGAAAATGGAATGAATAAAGAGTTGAAAAAAAAAAAAGCCACAGCTAGCAAGAACTGATGAGGAAGAAGAAAGAAAGTAAAAGAGATGAAACTAAGAGGAGGACTTGAAAGAAAAAGGAATGAATAAAGAGTTGAAAAAAAAAAAGCCACAGCTAGCAAGAACTGATGAGGAAGAAGAAAGAAAGTAAAAGAGATGAAACTAAGAGGAGACTTGAAAGAAAATGGAATGAATAAAGAGTTGAAGAAAAAAAGCTAGCAAGAAGAAGAAGAAGAAGAAGAAGAAAAAGAAGAAAAAGAAGATGAAAATGGAATAAAGAAGGACTTGAAAGAAAAAGGAATGAAAAAAAGTTGAAAGAAAAAAGAAAGAAAAAGGAAGAAAGAGAAAAGAAGAAGAAGGAAGAAAGAAGAAAGAAAAGTAAAAAGATGAAACTAAAGAGGAGGACTTGAAAGAAAATGGAATGAATAAAGAAAAGAAAAAAGAGCTAGCAAGAACTGATGAGGAAGAAGAAAAAAAAAAATAACTAGGAATGAATAAAAAAAAAAACAGAGCAAGAACTGATGAGGAAGAAGAAGAGAAAGTAAAAAGAAAGGAGGACTTGAAAGAAAATGGAATGAATAAAGAGTTGAAAAAAAGCCACAGCTAGCAAGAACTGATGAGGAAGAAGAAAGAAAGTAAAGAGCAAAACTAAGAGTACGCTTGAAAGAAAATGGAATGAATAAAGAGTTGAAAAAAAAAAAGCCACAGCTAGCAAGAACTGATGAGGAAGAAGAAGAGAAAGTAAAAGAGATGAAACTAAGAGGAGGACTTGAAAGAAAAATGGAATGAATAAAGAGTTGAAAGAAAAAAAAAGCCACAGCTAGCAAGAACTGATGATGAGGAAGAAAAGAAATAAAAGAGATGAAACTAAGAGGAGGACTTGAAAGAAAATGGAATGAATAAAGAGTTGAAAAAAAAAAAGCCACAGCTAGCAAGAACTGATGAGGAAGAAGAAGAGAAAGTAAAAGAGATGAAACTAAGAGGAGGACTTGAAAGAAAATGGAATGAATAAAGAGTTGAAAAAAAAAAGCCACAGCTAGCAAGAACTGATGAGGAAGAAGAAGAAAGTAAAAAGATGAAAAAGAGATGAAAAGAAAAGGAGGACTTGAAAAAAAAATGGAATGAATAAAAATTGAGAAAGAGGAAAAAGAAAATGGAATAAACAGCTAAGCAAGAACTGATGAGGAAGAAGAAGAGAAAGTAAAAAGAGATGAAACTAAGAGGAGGACTTGAAAGAAAAAATGAATAAAGAGTTGAAAGAAAAAAAAGTACAGCTAGCAAGAACTGATGAGGAAGAAGAAGAGAAAGTAAAAGAGATGAAACTAAGAGGAGGACTTGAAAGAAAATGGAATGAATAAAGAGTTGAAAAAATCACTACAAAAATAGCCATTTTGTTTCAAGACACCGGAGTGTGTCTTATCAAATGGCTATTTTGAAGATAAAATGTTTTTATCATCAACATCATCACTTGATGTGTTATAATTTTATAAATGGCTATTTATATCTGATCTACTTTGTATTGAGCACTCTTTTAAGAATAGTAATTGTTGGTTATTGGAATTCATTCCGTATATACCAATTATATAATTGCTTATAATTGCATATATATATATATATATATATATATATATATGTGTGTGTGTGTGTGTGTGTGTGTGTGTGTGTATGTGTGTGTGTGTGTGTGTGTGTGTGTGTGTGTGTGCAAAATCCGAAAAATGTTGATGGAACCAACAGAAAGCCTGGCAGGTGAGCAAAAGGAAACGTAATAAATAGGAAAATTAACAAGTAAGAAAAAAAAAAAAAACAAGACAAAAACTATATAAGAAAACGTGAAAAGGTTAAAATGAAAGTTTACACACACACACACACACACACACACACACACACACACACATATATATATATATATATATATATATATATGTATGTGTGTGTGTGTGTGTGTGAGTAAGTTCGAGAATGGGAAAGGTATGGTATCTGAGCTGCGCATGCATCATTATAGTAATTATGTATGGAAATTCTACTGTTCATATATATATATATATATATATATATATATATATATGTATGATGTTCGTTTCTTTGTGTGGGTCTCTCTGTGTGTGTGTACTTGTATAATACCAATGAAATTTTGTTTGACGGCCGGCCACAACTAAAAGTTTCTTCGCTCGAGAAAGAGCACAATCGTCATATTGCGGACAACAGACTGTATGTTTTTTTTACATACATATGTAAATCTCGTTTATTTTAATTGGCTAACATATTTTAAATTTTTTTAATTTAAAAACTCTAATCCCAGCATAATATAAAACTACGCCAACATTAAGATAACCAGACATATTAAAATTTAAAATTGTGTAACGGTCAGTTCGTACTCATCACCTGAATATTGCTTGAAACTATATCTATCTATCTATCTATCTATCTATCTATATATATATATATATATATATATGCATATATATATAGAGAACTATATATATATATATATATGAACTCTCTCTCTCTTTCTCTCTCTCTCTCTCTCTATATATATATATATATATATATAAATATAAACTCTCTCTCTCCCTCTCTCTCCCCCTCTCTCTCTCTCTCTCTATATATATATATATATATATATATATATATATATTCATGAGTATGTATGCTTTGTTTCGGCTCATATATCTATGTCTACACACACACACACACACACACACACACACACACACACACATATATATATATATATATATATATATATATGTGTGTGTGTGTGTGTGTGTGTACTTGCGCACGCGCGCTGTGGTGTCTTATATTCCACCTACAATATATTCATCAAGTCTTTCTGAAGATAAGAGTTGATGTACGCCTTTTCTTTTTTCTTCTTTTTCTTTTTCTTTTCTTTTTTCTTTGTCGGTTTTCTTAAACAAAAACTGTGTTGTGCCGGCATTAGGAGGCGGTTTGTCACGTGGCGTCGATTGGGAGAAATTTTGAATAATTAAGACCTAAAATAAATAAATAAAAAAAAAAGCAAAAGCTGGAACGAATTGATAAGGCGAAGAAAAGAATTTTCATCTGACGATATTTCTCGCTGGACTCATCGGCGCCAGTTTAAAAGGCAAGATGATAAGACCTTCTGCATTGAGATTTTTGAGGCGTGTTTTCTGTTCCTTCTTTTCTCGTGAGATATGAATTTTATCACCGCCATGACATCATATATAACGAGATCATTATTCAAAACTGCAGACAGAAAAAAAAACGTATGTGCAGGAAGCCATAGCAGTATTCAGTGACTATTGATTATCGTCGTGACTGTACTTTTTACAATTTAATCTACTACAAAAATCAAGATATGTGTAAACGACGAGAAAAAAAGGCAGATTATTTACATTATTCGGACTATGTCTTCATCTTTGTTGTCATATTTTTCACAACGTTTCGGCCGTTGTACGCTCCGGCCCTCTTCAGGTGGTTGGAATATCGAAGTGAACCCTTTATTTAGCTCGCTGGGGTAGACTGTTCTAGTTCCTCATGCCATGTCTAATGGATGTCAGTTATCAGTTATCTCCTGTTAATTCCCGTCTTCAAGTTCTCCACTGCCTTAGCCAGATATTGAACTCAAAACTCTTTGAGGCCTGTCACTGGATCTAACCAACGCCTTTATCCACTGTGCCATGTGTCCTTAAGGAAGATCATTCTTAGAATCCAAAACAAACAGTCGAAATTTCTCGGACGCATAATGAGAAAAGAAGACTTTTAAAATTTGAAACTCACAGGATATATTTTGAGTAAGAGGGAATGAAGGAAATTACCTACCTAAGTAGCTTGTGTACCGTAAATTACGGCGCGCAAGCCAAAGGAGCGTTCGGTAGGCAAGAATGGAAGGTTGAAGTTTATAAGCAGTAAATTCGACCTTGCTTACCGAACGCTCCCTTGTGGCCGAGTCGGTTAAGGCACGTCAGCGTAAATGACGGTTCCGTGTAGGATGTAGTTTCGAATCCTGTCAAAGGACGAATATTTTCTATGAAAATTTCTCGGACATTCAGGCCGGTAAATGTTATTTAATACTGTTTATTATATTATTTTTACTTAAATACTTGTATCTATAAAAAAGAACGTTAAACATAAAAATGTATTTAATAAATAAATTGTCGGACTTTGTCCATTTCTTATATATATATATATATATATATATATATATATATATATATATATATATATATATATATATATATATATATATATATCAATGTTTAGGTCAAAAGTAGATCAAATATGGATTGGAAGACAACATAATGATAGGATAAAGAACAACAAGGAAACGTTTATCAATCTGTTTGACTTTTATTAAAGGTTCATCAGAGGGTATTTATTCTGAACAATAGACGGAGAGGGTCCTTCACGATTCCCTCCACTAATTCACGATACCATAGTCTCCGAGGCCGAGAAAGGTCACTGGACCGAGGAATGACCTTCAAGCCCGACCGCCACTCGCTGAGGAAATTCGACAACCTTCCACGATCGCGACGGCGCTTACACCAAGAAATGGGAGGAGTGAAAGTTAGGCTAGGGAAAGCGTCCCTAACACTCCGCGCCCAAATTGAGCCCTCAGTCAAAATGCGACGTAAGAAAGTCAATCTTGAGGCATGGTGATGACTCTTCAGGTGTGGCAATCCCAGCCCTCCATTCCGCGGACGCTGGTAACAGGCTTTTTTAAGGAACCAATGTTTTCGACCACCCCACAAGAAGGTGGTCAACAAACGCTCGATCGCCTCCTTACGGGACCTGCAAAGAGGAAGTAAAGCCAAGCAGTAAAGGATGAAAGGCAAGACGTAAGTGGCAAACTCAACTCAGACCTAACCTTTAAAGATAATCCTTTAAGGTTCATTAGAGACTGAGATATGGAAAAAAGAAGAAAGGAAATGTGGTATTTTTACTTTTGTATTGCTTGATTTTCATTGGTTAATCACGTTTCACGTGCATTTGACTTTTTAGATGAATTTGGGGCGTTCAGAATTCAAAGAGAGACGAAACTTTGGATGGGCGTGTCGTCTCTCCTTGAATTCCGAACGCCACAAATTAGGCTAATGGCTTTGAAAATGACAGTACCCGTTCTTTTAAAGGAACTTTTTTGTTTGTTCTAGGCTTTTTCACCAGATTTCATTGGAATAATAACGGAAGTTATATATTGATATCGATAATCAATAATCAAAACGGTTCGAATGAAAAAGAGTAACACGGATGGTTATTAAAAAGCCACGGCTAAAATAAATATTTTACTAGACAACAACAACAAAAACAAATTGGTGTAAATAAGCTCCTAGGGATTATAAAACATGAAAAGATTTACACGGATTTGTTCTCTTGTTTTTTTGTTGTTGTTGTTGTTCTTCTTTAGAAAGAGTCTTTTCCGTCATTTTCAAAGCGATATTTAAGTGGTGTCGTACAAAATTTTTACAGCCACACACACACACATATATATATATACATATATGAGTCGAGTTGTTATCCTTTGTCAAAGGCATATGTACAAAAGTAATTACTGACAGGCAGTTACCCTGTATGTAAATGGGTGAAAATAAAATCTCTATTGAATTAAACAACAAAAAGTAAAAGATGTTATCATGATAAGTAACAGCGGTTGACGTACCCACGGTAATCTTGCGGCGGGTGGCTTGATAGCGAAAGGCGCTGAGCCGTTTTTTATAGCACGTCTGTCTTCTCTCTTGGCTACGTTGGTATTTGAATGCATTTGTCCTATGTCTATTTTTCTCTATTAAGCAGCCGTATGTCAGAGCGCCCTCTTGACAAAATCATTCTACCTCGTGGATTCAATGTTGTCCTTCCTTTTCTCTGTCATTCTTTTTTCTTTTTTCTTTTGATAAGCGCGGTGCAAATAAAGGATAAGTTTACAAACACAGAGAATCTCTATTTTTATTTTTCAGTTTTACCGTATATTTTTCAGGAAAAAAAAGTATATCCAATCGACTTTTTTTAAATCATTTTACACCCAAACAATGCAATAAAGGGCTTCCTGAGTGTTAGAGAATATCAGATAAAAAAGAACTATTTAGAAGAGAGAACAATAAAAGAAGATTTAAGAAGACAGAAGATAACGATTGAGATTACATTTACATAATTGAAGATCAAAGTTGACTGGAAAGTAAGAAGCCGGAAGAGAGTTCCGCATGCAAGAAGTGTGATAGAAGAAACTGTTAACATAGAACTTACGGTTACATTTAGCGATTTCAACTGTAATATGATAAGGCCTGTAGAAATATATCATTGAAGAGTGAGACCAATAAAAGAAAATTAACTAAGAAGACAGAAGATAACGATTAAGATTGCATGTACATTTTTGAAGATCAAAGTCGACTGGAAAGTAAGAAGCCGGAAGAGAGTTCCATTTGCAAGAACTGTGATAGAAGAAACTGTTAACATAGAACCTACGGTTACATCTAGCCATTTCAATTGTAAAAATGTTATTGTAAAAAATACAATAAATATATACTTGATATGATGAAGATTAATGACAAAATGAAAAAAAAAAACATTTTTGTGTGACGCATTTCAGCCTTTCGGACTTCATCAGCCTAAAGAGGTGTTTCCGTTGATGTAACTAAAGATCTGTACGAAGGAGAAAAGTATAAAATCTATAAACTATTTTTTTAAGATATGTTTTGCGTATATAGTCTCGCCAATTTCATTTTGTTTCTTTTTCTTTATGCTTTTACAAGTTTTGTTATTAAATAGTCACCCATTGTGATTATAGACGAAATTCCAAGAAAGATGAAGCGATGCAAGAACTTGGGCGTAGACTTACTGTGAATAATCTAGCGATAAAAACGTTTTATATACACTTTAGTCTTAGTAAATTGCTTTCTCTTTTACTTAAAATAGCTTTTTTAAATCGAAATTATTGTGCTTTGTTTGTATTGTTTTTGTGTTCATATAATCTTTTATTCAAATTTCTTGAGGTTTCTCCTATGTATTACTTGTGGCAGTTATTACAAGTGATTGAGCAAATACCTCCTTCAAATTTTAGCTTATTATTTTGTTTTGTATTAATTAAGTTTTACATTGTTTTAGAAGTACTTGTAACAAATTTAAGCTTACATTATTTTTAATTGTAGTTGTGATAGAGTCGGTCGGTATAATAACATAGTCTGATTTTTTTTTGTTTTTCAGGAAGGACCGCTTTTCTGAATATTTTACGTGTTATGCGTGGAATATGAAATAATTAGAGTATTGGTGGAGCTTGAAAGTACTCTCAATGTATTTCTCCTCTTCATATGAATATTGAGGATTACAGATTTTTATGTTGTTTACAGTCTATACGAATATTGATATCCTGTTTATTCGAAGTATTATAAATCGTTTAGATCAGGCGCAGGGGCTGAAATGAAGTAGCACCCATATAAGGAACAACCTTTATATTTGGGAAAGATAATGCAATAATCCAGACCATGTACTGTAGGCAAACCGCCTGTGTAGAGATAGAAAATGAATTCATTAAATGTACAAAAGTTAGAAACGGGCGTAAAACAAGGGAGTTCCTTCTCAACGGACTTATTCAAGCTGTACAGTGAGGCGATTGTCTACCTTTTGTAGGAGTTCCCGCAGGTTACCTTCTGTCTCTGTTATCAACACTGTGTCATTTGTATATCTTATATTGTTAAGTATTTATCAATCCACCAACGAGGATAGAATGTGGCACAAGGCCGGTTTAATGTGGGTATCCCCGAGCCCGTAGGCTCGGCCAAAAATATAACCTTTTTGAACCCGCCTAGACCTGTCTACCTCCCCGAACGAAACCTTGCCCTTCGGCAAAGCTTCGTCCGGGTTCCTCTCTGCTAATGCAGAGAGTTCGACAGACGCCGACTCAGAAGCTCACAAAGGCAGCGTACTACACTTTGATCATTGCCCCCGGGCCGAGCAGCTTATATTGTTAAGATTGTGGTCGCTAATAACGAATCCCTGTAGGACTTCTAATTCTTTCAGGATGAGTTCACTCTAAAAAAAAAGTAGAATTTTATGTACCACCTACATTGGGAATTGGATGACTCTCTCTTTCCTTAAAAATTAAAACACAACAACTAAAAAATTATAACTTATAAAATTCTCTTTCATTTTGGACTTGATCCCCCAACACGTGTATCTTTCCTTTGTTTATAGTGTAATTTTCCTGATATTATTTTGCTTAGCTTTTGGAAGGCCTCTTCGTCTTTGAGGAATTTGTGCAACATTCACTGGATACATTCGATACCGTTTTTTTTTAATTGTCGTTTTTACAAAGTCTTCAAGCAACACAAAAGTCTATATTAATGGTATAGAAGACACAAGGCTTCCTTTTTCTATTCGTCTCTCCATACAGTTAATAATTTGAAACCAAAAGACGCATGGACGCATCCTGGCTGTACGCATACACAGACATTGCTACACACACACACACACACACACACACACACACACACACACACACACACACACACACACACACACGTACACGCACGCACACACAACTCTTTCAGTGCACGTATATGTAGAGACTACCTACTTTGGAGCAATAGGTAACAAGCTAGTCTTCTAGGTTATTTTCTGCATAGTTGTGAGCAAAAAGGAACAGGACAAGGTGTAAATTACACAATGGGGACGTAAATATCAAGTAACGGGGGGAGGAAGTTAATCTATTGGATTTGTTTAGTAGCAGATGAGGAAAAAATGTTGCACTGATATCCGAAGGCACATTGGAACAGCGCAGGTTCAAAAAGGGATCAAACGGAATAGAAAATAACATTAGAAACTTTGAAAAATTGATACTATCAAAGAATATCGACGGTAAGAGAAGCCGAGAAAAGCAGTGCTCCCAAAATTCAATTAATGACGTCACAAACCTAAGTGAAGTACTGTGACATTCTGGTGGGTCGACTGCTTCAATATCCCACAGAAGCGAAAAAAAAAAAAAAAAAAAAAAAACACGCTGACCATACAACGGTTTGAGCCAAGTCATGTAAAAAAATGAGAAGACAGAACAGTTCGAATAGCATTATCTGCTGGTATCAAGTCATCGTGGGTTTTGAACATACTGTTGAAAAAATGTTGATCCCAACAAATAATGCCCTCTCCCAGAAAGTGTAACTGAGGTACTGTTGTGGTACGATCCACCTAATTTACATAGTAGAGTACCGACCATATAAATATGGGTTGGTACCGGGAAGAAGTAAGAAGAGATCCAATCCAGAGACTCTGCCCGACTGCGATTAAGTCAACCCATTCTACAGGAACAGTCTTCCCAAGAATATACCAAAACTAACTGTAAATATTGTGTACCTTTTCCTTGTTTCAATACATTTTGTTTACGTACATTTTGTGTTGTATTATTATTATTCCATGCTTATCCAAGTTTCAACAGGTAACATCAGTATAGTTACAGTATAAATCGTATTTGGGTTTTGTGGCTGTCAAACAAACACAAATGTGCCTAAGCAGGTGTCTCTAACGGAGACTGGCTAAGCGCCATTGCAGAAGGGGTGTGCACGGTAAAGTGTATCCGGCAATTATATATATATATATATATATATATATATATATAATCAAATGGGTAAATATAGGTAGGTATATGAGTTAGCGACCGTATATAAATACATATAAACTCTATCGTGTAAGAAAAACCAGTGCTCAAGGTTAAGTAACAGAGCTATTTAACATATATATTAAGAAACATACGTAATATCTTCCATTAATTGTGTGCCGAAGCAATTTTCAAATAATGGAATTATTATATTTATTTTATAAATAAGAATAAATGCAATTTATAATTTTTATTTATTTTATAAATAAAAGTAAGTGTAATAATCCCAGCACTTGAAAAATGTTTGGGCATGAAACTCGAAGTTGGGCAATTAATGTAAGGTATTTATTAATGCACACACACACACACACACACACACACACACACACACATATATATATATATATATATATATATATATATATATATATATATATATATATATATATATATATATATATATATATAGAGAGAGAGAGAGAAAGAGAAAGAGGGAGAGAAGATAGATAGAAATGAGCTAAATAAAGAGATATTTTTTCTTATTTGTGTTATTATTTTTTATTATTGTTTATATTTGTTTTTACTTTTCTTTACCTTATGCTAATTTTTGACTACCCATGCTCTTTATTTGTTAATTACCAGCTTTTTTAGTCCGTATTACAATAATCTTATCCATTGACTCAATATGCATTAAAGGATCAATATCCCTATTAAATTTGCTAAATACCTTTTATTTTTCGATATTTACACTTTATAGTTTCAATTTATATCCCAATGCTATATTATATTCATAATAATCTTGAACTTTGAATCCACATATAATATAGCGTTGCTCGCATGAGACGCAAGATTAAAAAAAATAACTTTTTATACCTGATGAATGGGTAAACCGTGAAACATGTCGTACTGTAAACGTAGGTATATGTGTAATTATTAATAGTCGACTCTTCCGTCGAATTCGACGTATGAGGGTCAAGCAGATCAGTTTCCAGGAAAAAGGACAGCCCGACACCGGCGCATGATATTTGATTATAGTGGTGAAGGCTTCGTGCAGGACCATCCACACTTTTTGAAGGGACGAATACAGAGACCTGGTGCACCGAGTGCCACAAAGTTCTCAAACGACCCTCCGCAGGTTTTGAATTCAGAGTTGTCCTTCTCCTAGACCAGTTGCCATCCAA